ATAATAAGTTTATTATTAACAAATGGTGGTTGTTCTTGGTCAATGTAAAATGCTTCAGATTTAGTAAGAAAGTTAGATATCCAAGAATAATGATTAACAAGATCTAAGTGATAACTTGTCTTTCCAAGATCTTCTAACATTAAATAAAGTTTACTTCCATCAATTGTTTTAAATATATCATTTAATAATACTACATTATGAATATCTGATAAAAATACTCTATCATATTCATTTGATAAATCTTGTAGATATTCATATGCCCATATATTTCTTGCATTGTCTGCATTCCAAGTATCATTATACTTTGTTGTAGTAATTATTTCTATTTCATACTGATTCATTATACGAACAAAATCTTCATTAATCCTTCCAATAACAAGAACTTTAGCAATAACTTTTGGTAAAACTTTTCTCATTAAATTCATTTCATTTTCAATATCTTTTAAATACTTTTCATTGGTTTTATCCTTTCTTTGAAGTTCTTGGTATGAAAATAATATTAAATCTTTTGGATTTTCAGGTTTTCCAATAAATATCGAACTACATTCATTTGAGAATTCTAATTCATTTAATTCAATTAATGGAACAGAACTTAGTTCAATGTCAAAAACTTTTGGTTGTGCTAATAAACGATTGTTTGGAAGTTGTGGATAAGATTCAGTAAGTTCTTTTGGTTTTGAAGAGTATATAAGAAAAAAAGTAATGAAAAGAAAGCTATATAAGAGCCAAATAATTTTATCAATATATCCTACTTCAACAACCATTTAAATCCAATATTTGTTAATTGTTTATTTTTAGTTTGTTTTTAAGTTTTATTTTTAATTAGTTTAAATTAAAAAGAAAGGAAGTTTTATGTTTATATTGGCATTAATTATTAGGGTACTTCTTATTACTTACACTAATCGTTATTTAACACTCTAATAGAGAATGTTATTGGTTAATACTTTTTAATGCTTTGTTAATTGTCAAAAAATAAAATGATAAACATACAGTACTAATGATTAGATTCTAATCTTATTTAATTCTTATGAAAAAGGCATATAGATACATTTAATTCTTTACCCTGATTTATTTCAATAAAATTTTAAAAACTAGAAAAAGGAAAAAAAAACTGAAAAATTCTAATTGGAAGAATAAACCTATGAAGACCCTCTTTATTTTTTTAATGATATTATGTTATGTATTTGCTTTAGAAACTAGTGAAAGTGATAGTAGTAGCGATGATTATACTAATTTAATCACAATTATTGTTATGTCAGTTGTATTTGGTTCTTTAATTATTGTATCAATATTTGTGGCAATTGTATTAATTGTTAAGCAAAGAAGAACAAAAACAGATGAATATCATTCATTAGATTGAAGAAATCAAAAACAAAAAAATTAAAGAAAATGACGAATAGTATATGTTATTGAATTGTGTTTTTGTTTCTTTATTTTACTTTTTTTAACTTTTCAATTGATTGAAACATTCAGTTATATCCATCCTAATCGATGCCTATTAATAAGGTCTTTAATCATTGTTTCAGTGTGTGACATTGGTTTAGGTTCATCATTTACTCTTCTAACAAATAATGGGAAAAACGCATTTGTGGCAACTCCACAATGATTTCCTCCTCTATAAAGTCTCATATACCCATCTTCCCCCCATTTCCAATCACCCCAACTATTACGAATAATATAATATTTTTGTCCTTCTTTGGTTGTGCCATAACCAACAAGATTCATTGCATGACTTAATCCTCTTCTTGTACATTCTTCATTATAATAAATTCCTCCCCTATAATGTTTGAATAACTTACTTCTTGTATCTAATCCTATTCCTAATACCCCAAATTTATGTATTGCACTCATTAATGCTCTTTCATTTCCACGAGGTACTAATGCATATCCACCTAATGTAACTTCTTTATATTCATTATTAAATTCTTTACAGTCTTGTGTTTCTGCTTCATATGGATATCTTACTCTTTGCATAACACCTTTAGTTCTGTTCATGCACCTAAATGATCTTTCCATACTCCCACCTTCGCATCCATTATTTTCAATACAACAATCTAATAATTGTTGTTCACTTAATGCCCATGTCCTACCAACGTCATCTACAGTAAGATTGTAATCAATAAGATACCTAGATTCTAATGCACAAACACTAGCAAAACTCCAGCATCCACCACACCCAGTTTGTTCTCTAATATACGTTAGTTTACCAAATTTTCTAAAGTCAATACCTTCTGGTAATTCCTTAACACTATCCTTTTTTTTATTAAATTGCCATTTTCTACCAATTCTATATTTTTTAGGTACATGAACCTTTCTCATAAAACGAACTCCACGATACTTTTTTCCACGTACCTTTCTTCTCATTTCTCTTCCATATGTTTCTTCGTCTTGATTAAGGTTATATTCCATATAAATATCGTCTGATTCATTTTTGTTTTCTTCTTCATCAGTAGACATCATAGAAAATTCATCTTGTCGATCCATTTTCATTGAAAACATTTGATTAAATTCTTCATCAGTTTTATCGGCAAACTGTGTTATTCCTAAAAAGAAAGAATGTGGTTCTTTGTTGAATTCTTCTATTTCTTTTTTGCTTTGTTCAAATATAACTCTTCTTCTTAACATTTCTGAAGGTGTTGAGTATACAATCTGATTTGTTTTGAGAAATTCTTTAAACTCATCTCCAAAACAATTAACAAAAAGCATTAGTATAACAACATTAATAATGTTCATTGGTATCTCTTTAACTCTTGAAATTATAACTTTTTTTTAGATTATTTTTGAATTATTTGTTAATCCATTTTTCTTTTTACTATACTAAATATTAAATAAAACTATAATTTATTATTTGTTCTTCATCAATTCTGGTGAAGACTAGGAACAATACTTAAATGAAAAACTATAACATTTAAATGAAAGAAATTCATGAATAAATCAATTCATCAAAGAAAAGGTGATTTAAAATAAGTTGTCATCATCTTGTTTATCGTCTTGAATAAATGAAGAAATGTCAATTGCTTTTGGTTCTTCTTTCTTTTCTTCTTTTGGTTCTTCTTCTTTCTTTTCTTCTTTTGATTCTTCTTGAATAGATTGTTGTGGTTGTTCAATAACAGGTTCTTTAATTTCTTCTTTTGGTTCTTCTTGAATAGATTGTTGAGATTGAACTTCTGGTAATGGTTTATTAATGTCAGATCCTTTGTAAGGGGTTTCTTGAGAACCAGCTAAACAATCAGTATTAACACTAATAGGAGCATTAGGTGATGTTTTAATTGGTTGAGGTTGTTTTCTCCATAATTTAAATTCACATTGTTTGAAATAACGTTTTCCATCTTCTTCGATTAACACTAAATGTAAATGATAAGTAACACTAAACATATTATTAACATTATGATATGATGGGGTTAAGTCTAAATTAGCTAAAAATACTCTAATTGGCATTGATTCTCCTTTAACTGGTGCACCATCCATAAGTTCATAACGAGAAAGAACTTCAGTATCAACCGTTTGATTTGGTGGAAATCCAGTAGTTTCTTTTCTTTGTATTTGAAGTTCCATACTAGCCAAAGGTAATCTTACAACTTTAAAGTAAACTTGACCTAATACAACATCAGTTAAATTATAATATGATTTAGCATATTTAAATTCAATACTTACACATTTTTCTACACCAACATCCATTAAAATTGGATCATTTTTAGTAGGTTCATCTTGATAATTAATAACCCAAATTTCTTGTTCTTTAGATAAACCAGATGAATACTTTTTATTAACTGATACTCTTAAATAATATCTTAATCTTACATTCTTTCCTGAATATGAATCATATTTTTTATCAATTCCACTAAAACTAAATGGATACATTGTTTTTTCTTCTAATATAATATTTGGTCTACTTAATTCAACTGTTTGTTGAATAAAATTCGATGTAGAACTTCTGTCATATGAATATTCTATTGATCCAATAAAATCAATTTTAATTCCTTGATGTTCATACTTTTTATCTTTTATGTAATAACAACTTTTCCTTTAATATCTTCATTTTTCATATAAATTGGAATTTCTGTTTTTGTTTATTAACTATTTTAGTAACTTTTTGTTTTTCATGGTCATTGTCTAATAGAATATCAATTTGAATTGGTGTACCAAATAAGAAAGCCATTCTTCTATTTTGAAGTTCTTCTTTCTTTTTTTCTAGTTTTTGAAATTTTTATTTTTATTTTTTTTTTAAATCTTTTCTTTTTTCTTTATTTATGTATTTAATACATTTTTATCCTATAAAATAGATTAATATTCTTTATTTTTTATTTTCTTCAAAATTTTTGTATTTTATAATTAAATAATTTTGTGTTTATAAATCTTATTATTTAGAAGATTGTTGATGATAAAACTAAATGAAAAGGACAATAACTTATAAAAATGACCACCAGATAAGGAAGAATATGCAAAAAGCACAAACACATGCTAAAATAATTGTATTTTTACATTGATGCCATGAAATTCTATTTGTTAAACGATTTGAATCATTTAAAGTAGAATTATAGATAGAATTTCTGTTATTAATTTTATCCATTGCTTGGTTTTGTCGATCTATACTTGCATTGTCTTCAAATGCTTGACTAAAAATGAGTTTATAATATTAAAAAGAAAATTATTCAATTAATAAAACAAACTCAATCAAAATATCTGCTAATTGACTTGATCGATTAATAGAATCACGTTCTTCCCAAAGTAATTCTTGTTGTTTAGAAAACCCAGAACTAATAAGATGAATATAATAAAAAAATCTAATTCCAATTAAATCTTTATCTATCAAACTTTGACATAACTAAATTAACATTTTGAGATGATCTTTTAATTCTATCTATTTCGTTTATATTTGATTAGAATGAAGATGATATTCATTTTTTTTTTAATTTTTGGAATGTGTCTATCCTTTGATAAAGATTTTGTGAATAAAAATTATTATCTCTATGACCATTTTAATCATTTTCTCAATAATTGTTTTCATTCAATAATAAACATCAAACCTATCAAAATAATTAACCAAATCACTGCATTATCAAATTAACAAATAGTACTAGTGATTTTTTTTTAGTCAAAGATATGTATAGTATTTCTTCTATTACAGTTTGTTGTTTTTAAGAAAAGAAATATTCTTAATTAGTTATAAGGAGGCATTGTGTTAACGAATAACCCTATAAATTACAATAAAAAAAACATCAATTAAGATTTGAAATACTAAAATCTTTGAAAGGAAATTCAACGTTAGGAACTTCAGTTAATTTTCTTCTTGATGTGGTCCATTGAATTGATTCTTTAGATAAACTTCTAAAATCATGTGTAGAGTGTTCAATAATGATTCTTTCTTTTAAAGGAAAAGTATCTTTTGTCTTTTCTAATAAATGACTATTTTCACGTACTTTCAATATTAGCTTCATATCTTCATCCAAAGGATTGTATTTCTTAATTGTTCTTGATTGATATAGTTCTGTTTCTTGTTTAGTAAGTTTATTGTTATAAATGTCTTTAATCCAACATAATGTTGATCTATAAAGAATAAAATAATGAAAGTGTTGACGAACAATATCTGACCAATGAGTGAAGAAGAAATAGAAACTATCATTAATTAAATAAGTTATAATAGGTACTCTTGATTCAGTTGGAAAAGTTTGAATGGAATAATAAACTGTGTCTATTAGTTTTATTAATGCATATGAGTTATCACCAAGTTTTGAAATATGAAAAGCATTTATTAAAAGTTTACTATCAAATGGTAATCGAGTTAAAGGATTAAAAAGGTCATGATGTTGGGTAATTAAATTAATATATTTATTGAATGTATTAGCCATTTTAATAACTGATTGATAATTTAAATAATTTGTATTTGTAACAATCATTGAAAATATTTGATTAAGTAAAGTTGAATCAACACTAAATAAGAATTTATTCAATGAATAACCTTGTTGATATCTTATTGATTCTCCATGAATTTTAAAATATTTTGATAAAAGACATTGGTATTCAACTGATTCATTTAATAATTGTTCAATTTTATCATTTTCTAATGCACCTAGAATAAATCCCTTAGTAATACAAACAATAAAATCATTCATTGAATAATATCTAAGAAATTCATTAATATCTAAATTATCATTTGGAATTGCAATTTGATATTCTTCTGGTAATACTCGTTCTATCATTTTATTTGGAAATGAATCAATAATTCTAATCCCACCATCTGGTATTTCAATATTTTTCATTAATCCTAGATATAATGATGGAAGAACAAGACATGCTCTTCCAATAATCCAACCACATAATTTCATAACTACTTTATTTGATTCAATCATAATTACTTTTTCATCGTATATTCTCTTAAATATTCTTTCAATACATTGAATAGTATGAATACATAATCTTTTATATTTACTAAATATTCCAAAACAATCATCAATACATTTTCTTTTAATTGCTTTTGTTACAATACATTCTTGAAACATTGTAAATATTGGACTATTGATTAATCTTACTTCATTCATTTTTTTTTTAGTATTTTAAATATTAACAAACTGCTTCATACAATTATAAATGATTTGTAACATCATTGTTAGTGTTTTTTCATGTGATATAATATCAATTAAACTAATACAACTATTCCAAATAGAAATAATAGTATTTGCAATGTTTTCTCCATCTTTAATTTCTATATGATTTTTATATTTTTGTTGTTCAGAAACTAATGCTAAAATAAGTTTTTTCATTTCTTCCTGAAAATTACTGAGTTTTGCCTATCTCATAGTTAATAAATTTTATTTCTACTTTCTACTTAGTAATAAAGATAAATAACTTCCAAACAGTTAACCATGTTTTAAAAGTTGTTTCTGAAAGTCCTTTTGATGTTTCAATGAACTTTCTTATTTGTTGTTCAGAGAGTTGAATTTGTTGCATATTTCTTTATTATCTTTGGTATTAGTTTTGAAGTTGAAAGAATGAGAGTTTTCTTCTTTTGTATATGTAAAAATCCACACTTCAGTAAGAACAGAAAATAATAAAAACAATTTTTCATTTTTT